TTTAGAGACTATTTCATTATCTAATTTAACCCAAATTGATCTATCTTCTTCTATAAAAAAATGGTTTATACAAGGTTCTTCTTTAACTAATTGTATTTTTTAATGCCATGATATATACCTTAGGTTTCCTCTAACCTAGTCTACTATATAATTATTGTGTAATAATTAACAATAGCATTATATAGAAAATTAGAGGGTATAATGTCACATTGGGTGCCTTTTAGTAGTACAAGTGTAGTTTGAAATCTTTTAATATAGATCAATTCTATTTTTTTAAATAAAGTTCAACTATGGCATTTACAAAACAAAAAAAAAAAAAAAAAATAATTAAAAATTGAATAATTTAACCAAGTAAACTATCATTATAATAAATAAATTAGCATACTAAAAACCATCTTTTTTTTTAAAAAAAATTTACTATTACTTTTAATTTTTTATATATCAAACATAATAAATAATGAATTCTCAACAATTTCTAACTAATATAAACAATAATCAATTTATTTTTAATTTTCTAAGCTTTTAAAATAAATAATCAATATCTTAATATGAACATAAAATAAATATATCATCTTTTAATATTTAATCAAGCTATAATAAATTTTGTGATTTCAATTTTTGGCAATAAAATTAAAATATTAAGATTCACAAAAAAAAATTTTTTATTTGTTGTAAAACAACTTTTACTAATGATTGATTCTGTTGCTATTAAGCTAAAAGATAAAATTATTAAAAGGAGAAGCCAGTATAACTGTTAAAGTTTTAGCAATCATTGAGTAGAAATTTGGTTTAATTGGTAATTCACCAATCACCTGGTGTATGATTATAGTATAATATAATGCAGATCACTATATAAATTACATTTATCCCAAATGTGGTATTCACCCAAGAAAAACTTTTTTTTGTACTAAGTTAATTATTCATCTGTATTAAGTAAAAATTGTTGAGCTCGTCAAGGCATATCTAATAGTAGTAAGATCATTAAAAACAGTTTGGTAGTTGTCAAGATATCACTAAAAACAATTAGATAACTATGTAAAATTCTATGTAAAAAAACTATTGTTTATATAAAAATTTTATATAGTCAGCCAATTGTTTTTTAGCAATATCTCAACAACTACTAGACTATTTTTGATGATCTTACTACCATTAGATGTACTTTGATGAGCTCTACAATTTTACTTAATACAGAAGAGCAATTAACTTTGTACAAAAAAAATTTTCTTAGGTAAACACCATATTCAGGTATATGTGATTTATATAGTGATCTGTATTATGTTATACTATGATTATGTATTAGGTAACTGGCAAATTACCAATTAAAGTGTTTTAGGTAATACTGATCATAAAAAATAGAAAAAGAATATGCTTAAACATTTAATTCTATAAATATCATTATTAATCATGGTGCTTGAGTATCATCATACTTATTACTTAATTAATTGATTGAAATACTTGAGAACACTTAGACTCAGATTCTGTAATATTTGTGAAATCAAATATTGTTATTCTTATTAGTAACTTGTGAGAATTGTAGTAGAGAATAATATCTATGATCAGTTATTCTACTCTGTTAATTGTCTAGAGTGTAGTGGAGGATGCTCAATTTCAATACAAAATAATACAAAGTTATATTTTTGATACTTCAAAAGTATTGTTCCTGATGCATCTATAATAAGAATACCAAAAACATAATTTTGAATTTTTTGTCTGTCTCTATTTGCATATTTGTATAATACAACCAATCTCATATGAGCTCTGGACTTATAACGGTTTCTGTTTTCTAGTTATATAAACTTAAAATATTACTTAATTATTATTTCTTTTGTCTTATTATTATTTTTAAAATTATTCTTCTTAATAAGATATTCTTAAAATTTTTCTAATATTATCTTTTTGATTATTATTAATAACAGTATTACCCATTATCAGTATTGTTATGGGACAGTTGTGGACAGCAAGTTTGGACACTTTGGACAATTTTGAACAATTAAATAAATTAAAATTACTCAAAATTTTATTAAGATAATCCATATTAATTTCTAAGTAAAATATGTTCAGCATATAAAAAAATATATAATTATATATTTTTTAATTGATAATCTGCCTATCAACTGAAGAATAGGTGAAATATGACATTCTCTATCTAAACCGTTTTTTCTTATAAGTTAGACACATGCCTACTAATTGAAAGTTGTAAAGCTTGTCGAGACACATCTAACAGTGATTAGATCATCCAAATAGGCCCAGTGGATGGCAAGATATTGTCGAAATACAATTGGCCAACTATATAAAAATCTGTAACGGAAATTACATATGAAAATCACTATCAGCGAAATGTGCGAGCTTCCATTTAAAACTTTTTTTATACTAAGTTAATAATATATGCCCACTAATTGAAAGTTGTAGAGCTCGTCAAGACGCATCTAACGGTAGTTAGATCATCCAAATTGGCCAAGTAGATGCCAAGATATCATTGGCCGACTATATAAAATCTCTATATAAACAATAATTGTTTACATAGAGATTTTATATAGTCAGCCAATCATTTTCGACAATATCCTGTAGCTATGTACTAAGTATACTCACCAAATTATTTTACATATCAGAAACCTTGACTTTAATATCATTGTATATGCAAATTCTGAAACAGATTTGCATATATACAATAGGATACTAGTAAACATCACTATTGCTACCAGATTTTGGATCCAAAAGATCAATCAGATATTAATAGGCATCAATCAGAAATAATATTATTCTGATTGATACTATTAATATCTGATTGATGCATATTTATATCTTTTAAACTAGTTTTTGGTTAGGTTTTATTTTACTATAAATTCTTAAAATAGCGAGCATCTGGTGCTATTTTAAATATCTGTGTATTATTTCAAATACACTTATTGGTATTGTTTCAAATATATCAGCAGATTTCTAAATAGGAATAGTTCAGGCTAGATCTAGGTCCAAACTTTTTAGAGCTGGTCTGAAACTAGTTCAGATAAAAGTAAATCATAAATACTTTTGGCATTTCGCTCTTAAAGCTATCTATATAGATTGTATATTAAACTGCTAGTTATACCAAGATTTTTTAAGAATCAAACCTGAATGGACTCTTTAACTTCCCTATTTTTGAATCTGGTCTTTTTTAAATATATAATAGTGAGATATATGATATTTCAGAACGTGTACAGATGTTATTTTGAAACTACTATTCTATTTTTAGGAAGCACAATTTCCCATATCCCTATTTCAAGAATTTACGATATATCATTAAGTATTGATTAATTCAAATAGGTTTCTTTATTGCTACCAGATTTAGGTCAATTGGGCATCAATAGACATCAATCAGAAATAATATTATTCTAATTGATGCTATGTATTGATACCTGATTAATTGCAATTAATCATCAAAATTATCAATTAATTGGTTAAATTTTTTGACCAACTTATACATATGTATATACATACTCATAAAATATAACTATATAATATTGTTTTTATTATACATATACATACTAGATAGATTATTAAGAACATATAATATATGTAAAAGTGTAAAAATAATAATAAAATAAGTATTGTGAATGATCATTAAATATAAAACCACATATTCTCAAATTTATTTTTTCTAATCTTATCAATAAAACTATTAAATCTATAATTCGTCCTATAACAATAAAAATTTATTTTTAAAATTCAATTTAAAATTTAAAAAAAAGTAATGCCACAAATGTTAAAGAGTAAAAATGAATTAAAATTAACAAGTATGATTTGGGTTAATAATAAAGTAGAATTAACTATATATCAATGGATAAGAATCATTGTACTTTATGGTTTAGGGTTTTCAAAACATGCAATTACTCGAGATATGGGTATTGCACATTCAACAGTTTTGAGATTAATTAAAAAGGCTAGTGATACTGGTAAAATTGAAGATTTGGAGAGATCAGGCCATCCAAAAGCTTTGACACAAGAGGAAGAAAGAAGAATAATTAAATTAATTAATTCTGGAGAATATAAAACAGCAACTAAAATTCATTCAAAATTTTGTTATGAAACTAACCACCAGATATCAGTTAAATAGTACAAAATATTCTTCGTAGACATGGGTTTATTTCTAGAGTTAAGAAAAAATACTCGGTACTAAATAAAGCTACAAAACAATCATGATATAAATTGCTAAACAATATGAAGACTGGATGGTTGATGATTGGAAAAAGATTATTTTTTTGATAAAAGTAGATTTGTACTCTTTGGAGCTTTCAAAGGATGTCAATACTACTAGTAAAAACCAGATAATAAAAAATTAAATGATGCTCAAATTATTCTAATGAAAAAATTTGGTGGTGGAAGTATAATGGTTTGAGGTTGTATGAGTCCTGACAATTGTTAACTTCAGTTAGTTGAAGAAACCTTAAATTCTGAGAGCTATCTTAATATTTTTGAAGATTGTCTTTTAGATGTTATTGACTATGATATGATTTTTAAACAAGACAATGCATCAATTCACAAATCTGTTTTTACAAAAAGCTGGCTTGATGAACAAAGAATAAATGTTATTGTCAATTGGCCTCTATACTCTTCCGATTTAAATCCTATTGAGCATCTTTGGGCTGAAATTAAGAGATGCTTAAGGGGTAAATATTTTAGTAGTAAAGAAAAACAAAAGCTATAGAAGCGTGTAGTAGAAATATGGAATGAAATTGGATTTGATGCAATAAATAAGTTGTATGAGTCAATGCCTAAAAGAATT